TCTATGATGATAATTGAATGAAAGTAGAAAGTTGTCTTTATAAGCAAGCAAGGAAATCATACACATACCAAAACGACAAAACTAAAACAAAACATTTGTCAATGTAACATAGTATGCATCTATCAACAATAGAGAAAAAAGAAAAACTTTCTCTTTGAGTAAAAACTTTTTGTATGAATTTGATAAGCTAGTTGAAAAATATATATTAATCCTTTACTAGAATACCGCAACTCGTCGGTTGGGTACGCGTACCTACGTACGAATACGAGAAGTGAAGTCTTTTATTTCCGGGACCGTGTTGAAATCTTTAGTCTTTATTTTTTTTAATAATATAGACTCATTGGTTCTAATTCTGATTCGAAATCATCCATCCCTATCAGGCAATTATACTTCCTGCTTACAAGTTCAAGTTTTTTTAAATTGAAAATTAGGAAAACCTTGAAAGATAAACGCGTCTAAAAAAACATGAAAAGTTTTGTGTTTATAGATTTTCCGTCTAGGAGTATTCTTTTGAATAATATGAAAATTTGTATCTTTTTTTATTTTTAGAGTTCCGATTCTCCACTATTCAAAATTGGTCAATTAAATGAAAACGAATCAAAAGAACTTTGTCGTAAATTATTTGAAAAAGTAATTAATCTCAAAGAAGAAGATAATAAAAATCGTCGTGATTATGAAGAGATTAAAGTACGAAAACAAAATTTTTGTCTTTGTACACTTTTATCTTTATCATATATTTAGTCTCAACTTCTTGAACAAACTGAAATCGTTAATGATTTACAATCACGTATTCAATCTTTATCACTTGATCATGATCGTCGTTTAACATCTATTCAACAAATACATGAAGAAGAAAAACAACTCTTACTTGGACAATTACAAGAATCATCAAATCAAGTAAAACAACTTGAAAAAGATTTATATTTTTATAAACATAAAACAAGAGAATTACGTAAGTCAATGGCAACATCAATAACAAATGTTAATGATATTACAACACAACGAACAGAATCTAATACAAATGAATATGATCTGCAAAAACCAAGATCAGCTGTACAACAGCAACAACCGGCACCATTTCTTCTTAAAATAGGTAACCGAAGCAATTCAGCACATCAATCATAAGATGATACATCTAGTAAACAATAATCTCGTACAGTGACCTTTTTTTTTCGTTATTATTATCTGTGTATATTTTCTTTTTCGGTGTTTATCAATTGTAATATGTATTTTGTAGTTCTGTGTGTGTGTGTACGGGTGTTTACTTGTTTTTCTTTGCATGCATTTCATTCGAAAGATAAGAAAAATAAATAATATCTTAAGACTAACAAGAGAAGTTATCCGATTATTCAATTGCTTTTAAGTCGAGACTATGTACATTATGTGGACTTTAATGAGCTATGATTACTAAATGGGCTCGTGCCCTTAGTTTATTACTACGGAGATATAGCATTTTTACAGTATTTTTTAAATAGATGTCATGTCTAAAAAACTAATTTTCAAACTTCGACTTGAAATTTTACATAAAGACAGACCTTAACAAAAGTAATTTATCGTAAATGCTTTAGGCCTTTTGATTTGCTTCTATCATGAAATAAGAACATCAAATCCACCAGTTCATATGACTGATGTAAAAGATACGTTATGACCATAGTTGTATCTTAGAATAGGAACAATTAAGAGACCTGAAACATTCACGAAAAAGAGCTGTTCTCATTAAGGCCTGTCTCTATGCAAAATTTCAAATCGAATTTCGAAAATCAACTTTTCTTGATCACGGCATTCATTTAAAAAATACTGTAAAAGTACCGTATCTCCGTAGTAATAAGTTACAGGTACGAACTCTTTATATAGTATCTATAACTTATTTGGATCTACATAATGTGCATAGTTTCGAGTGCATAGTTGGCGGACTTTCCTTGTGAAACATGATACTTAAGGCGTACCAAAAGTAATGTCTTAGGGACATAAAATCCCACAAGAAAGAGTTAATCAAGTTTTTATTCGAACGAGTATTTGAGCTAGGTAGTCATATTTAATCACGCACCATCAATTCGTTGAAAGTATTTTTCATATAATCTTTGATTAAAAAATTCATCATCTTGGTTATGGCACTCCATGTAGTGATTAGGAGCCGTTGAATTGATGAAGTTTATCAATTAGATTGAATACAGTCAGTGTCTCTAATGACGACGGGAATATTTTCAGTTGTTTTGTTTGAATTGGTTCTTGGTCATTTTGCATTTGATTGAAAATGCTTTTATATATGGATAATTCTTGAGTATCGTTCTTTCGAATAATGTGTTCGTAGCCTTTCTTCGTCATACAACGGAGGAGAAATCAGCGATCTACGATAAGATTTTGTGTCCATCGTTATTAAGAGCACTTTTTCTAATAATGACAGCCAACTATTTTTTTGTCCCTAATGACGACGCATTGCCCAAAATTCGTGTACTACTCGACATAAGAGAAAAATCGATTTCCAGTTTAAAAGCCTGAAAGATTTTGAAGGTTTTTCACAACTTAATTTTGTACTTTATGAAAAATCAATTTTTTGTACGTAGGGTACTCCTCAAGTATTCGAAAAATTTTTTTGTCTTCAATCTATTTATGATCTTGATAGATCGATAGAATACAATGTGCTGATTACGAATATTACATGTTGTGTAAAAATTAGTCGAATAATGAGAGATATCTGGGACATTTTCGGAAGGCTGAAAAATCAGTTCTTGAAGGAAAAGTTCATTGTTTTTCGTGTAAGATTCGTTAAGAATAGGCTCATTCGACGCAGAATTTTTTTTCTATCAGAATATATAAAAAGAACGTGTGCATAAAAACATTTCTGAAGCGATAATGACCAAATACCACCCCGAATTGTCCTTTGGCTATAAACAGCGATTTTTTAGGCTCACAAAAATACAGTTTACATGAACGAATGAATGAGATTTTAACACCCAAAGGGTCATGAAGTTATCATTATTGGCAGTAGGTAATAGAAGTTTAAGAAAGAAGCGAATAACTGCCACGAATAGCATTGTACTGAATTAGTCAATGACAAATCATTTGATTCAAGCTTTCGTTTCCCTCTGGGAACATTATCAGGAATGATTTATTTTTTATCCAACGTTCATGAAGACAATAACACCAATAAAATCAATTAGAACTTTTTTAATTACTAATTAGTCATGAGTGGCAGCATCTGCTCATCTCTGCTCTTCTTTGAGTGCATGTCGCTGTTCATGATTAATTGTTAATCTGGTATGTGAACGAACATTTAAGAAAAAGAAGGAATAACGACGATTCTGGAAAGTAAGTTTTTCGAGAATCGTCTTTGGAAAAAGAGGAAGAAAGGAGAATATTATCTTTGTTGTAAAAAGGCATTTTAACATATCAAATGCATTAACATACTTGTACATAGTGAAACAAAGAGCTCACTAGAACTTTTAAATGTTTATACATACGTAGTTTCTCACCGAAAACCAAAACAAAACAGTAGCATGTAACAAGAAAGTAGTTTATCCAGTCGAACAGCCATGCTGAAGAAGACAAAAGTACATTTGGATGCGTATAATATGTTGATTTCTTTGTACGACTTCGTTTCTATGGACCTGTACATCAACAAAATTAAGTCTACTTAGTGACTCTAAGGGTTTGAATTACAAAATTCATATAAGTTTAACGATTCACAAAAAATGTAGTCTCTTGAACTGTGAAGATACATCAAAAAGATGTTTTTATTGACATCCTATGTACGTTTTCCATTAGAAAAGCATACATGTAAATAGTAAATGACATCGCAGCAAAATTTCTTTCAACGCGATTTCACTATGAAAAGGCAACGTTTTTACATTAAAATGTTAAAATTGATATTGATTTTTACGCAGGAATACAAATAATGAACTAGAGTTAGTCTAATGTTATGCTCAGAGGATCATTGTCATAAGTTTTCATGCACCCGTCGGCTTCATTATTAGTCGTACTGCCGTATCTCTAGCCACAAATATGATGTGAAACTCGAGTTTACTTGAAAAGTCAATACCTTGACAAAAAAATTCTCTTCGACTGAAACTTTCAGGATATTCCACAGTTGATTCGACCTATCTCTAGGCAAAATTTCATATCGAAATTTCTTTACTTGATTTTCCAGTAAATATTTAAAAATGGGTCGAAAATTTTAGTGAAACAATCAGAACTTAACTTCAAAGACCCATGGAGATAAACTTTTTTTTTTGGACTCTTGCTAGCCTCACTAAGATGTCCTTGTACACTCTATATGAAATCACACGATGCGCATCAGTTCGGTTGATTCTCTTGTCAGAGATTCGAGCAATTGTTTAATCAGCAATAGATGACTGAGTAAAACTCTACAACTATCATATCGTATGAATAGTAAATATCTTACAAGTTTGCATCACTAATATTATTTTTTATAAAAAGAATTTGCTCAAATAACCATTATGCGTATACTCGAAAAAGTTACATGATGTTTAAAGACACAAAAGTATGATTATTTGTATTAGTAATTTTATGGATTTCTTCATGAAATATTAGTCTACGCTAATGTCTTCCTTCGTTAAGTACTTTCATGTTTATATTCTTTTTCTTTTTTTTTTTCTTTATAAAGTCTACAGAGAAAACAGACATGTCAATAGATATACAAACAAACAATTGAAGTTCTGCAAAGTATAAAAATTGATTTTTAGCTATTTCAATCATAAAAGAAAAACAATTTTTTGATTCTTTATTATTTTTCTACTTTCTGTCTCACATGTAGAGATACATTATTTGTTACTTCGTCGATTGTTCGTTTATTCGTAACAAGAATTATAAACGTGTATGTCGAGAAAACAGAGAGAAGACAAAAAAAAAAACTTCAAAGTTTTTTTTTTGTATTCAAATAGTATAGTATTAAAAAAAAAGTGAAGTGTTACCTTTACAGAAACAACAACAACATCATTGTAAAACAGACGATTATTATTTGAATAGATATTCAACAGTAAATGACGAAATATTCAAATCACCATTGTGATGTTATATCAACTGTACAATTAAGTCCATTTGGTGAAGATCATTGGCATCGTATAGTAACTTATTCACCAATGTATTTTAATTGGTCTGATTTTATAATGATGAATCGTAAACATACACCCAAAAAACGAACTTTAATTAGTCCAATAGATATTAACGCTGTTAAATTAGAAGATCAATTATTACTTAATGAAATTCATACGATACAAAGAGCAACTATTATGCCATCTGTAACAAGATTTTCAGGAAAAAATTCATACGAATCAAAATATTTCGATGAAGAACATTGTCAACGACCAACATCACCTACAGATGAATATCAAAGATCATCAGATTTTTTTCATCAAACAAGAGAATCACCAATACTTCATTCTAATTATGTTGAAACATCATTATCACATCAACAATATACTACAAAACATTCTCTATTACAACCAAAAGTATATAGTTCATTTAAATCTATTATATATATTTTGTTTAAAAAAGAATGAAATTTTTATTTTCAGAACACTAGCAATGCAAAAATAAAAGTATTATCGAAAATTAATTTTGGTCCAAAACCTCAAGCTTCATTAAGTGTTCAACTTCGACAATCAGCTATAGCTCGTGAAAATGCTCTTACAACTGCAGCTGATCATCGAAGTACAACTCCATTATCAATGTCTTCATCAAAACGAGCTGCTGGTGGTAGTGCTCATTCAAGTCGTCGCAGTCATCAAAAATATCGATTTCTATATCCTCAAACACCACCACCTAGTGAAACATATACTATTGGTGGTTTATATGAACAATCAGCAGCTGATAAACCGTCTACAATAAAAAAAACCATTAGTAAAAAGTACGAATACAAGTCGTTCAAAAGTACATATGATTAAAACAAAAACTGATCGTGCACGAAAACAACAACATACTGAATTAAAAACAATTTTAGTTAAACCATGTAGACAATTGTTAACAAGTGATAATACATTAGAAGAAACAATTCCAAATTCAATTGAAACAATGCGTCAATTACGTGGATCAATACCTGCATTTGAAAAAAATTTACGATATACTTATCACAAACAATTAAATAAATTTAGAAACGATTTGAAAAAATGTTGAAATATTTCTTTTATGTTCTATTATTAAAGTCTTTCAAAAGTATAAAATTAAATTGATTTTTTCTTTTGATTGAACTGTAACGATTTGATAGAATAAACATTTGTTTTGTAGATTAAATGTTAAGATCTTCCACACCTCAGAAAAAGTCAATTTTCATCAAAAATATCGAAATTAAGATAAAGGCATGGAAACATAGTCTGTCTTCTGATCTTTCAGAAATGGCATGGTTTTTTTTTCGACATCTCATTTTTGGCCAAAATTTTTAATGATTTCCATTAACTTTTTAAAAAGTATAATTTTTTAAAAAAAAAAACGAAAAATGTTTTTCATTTTTCCTCAGTTTATGCTTTCTCAATCGTACAACCCAAATTTCTCAGCACGTCTACATTCTATACATTTGAATGTTTTTTGTTTGAAAGAGCATGTCAAGATGCAGGATACAACAGAGTCGTTTTTTTTTAATTAAGCTTTGATTTTATTATGTATGCAAACAAATACATGAATGGACATTCATTTTTGGCGTGTTTTTAGAGCATTTTTTGAGACGTTAAACTTATCACTCGTTTTTCTCGCATAAAAACTAAGAATATAAAAAAAGGACTTTGTGATATTTTGTATTCTGATATGCCCTTTCAAACAGTAAAAAATGTTAAACATATAGAATGAGGTTGGACAGAGAAATTTGAGTTACCAAATGAGCTATTTTTGACTCTTGTTTGGTGAATATCTCTCTCAAATATCATGCTATAAGACTGGAAATTTTATCATAGCTTCTCCACTTCACTCCCTACATACGTTGATAATTTCATGCTTTGAGCATGCACCCAACCTGAGATCAATTTTTGAGGGAGAGAGGAGCCTTAAGTGTTTTCAAGAGTTTTTTTGTCTGTTTGGGAAGGCACACCGCATAAATGGTTTTTTTTAAAAATATAAACTGGGTGTAAGAAAAGCGTTGCGATTTTTATTGTCATGCATATCTGTCTATTCAAGAGCATGATAAATCGTTGATCTTCTTTAGAAAAGACGTGCCATTGAATGCTCTATTCGAATTATGCGACCAAAGCTTTATTGCTATTTTCTAAATTTTACTAGAATACCAACATTGAACATTTATGTCACGATGTTATTTCCTTTAAGAGAAAACCGAAAATATCTGAATTTTTTGTATTAATAAGTATTGTTCATTCATTTTGACAACAATATTTCGAGCAAATTATGGATCAAGTGGGAGTCTTCAAACTATAAGGATTATAATTCCATCTTCAGTTCAAATGCAAGCGAAACATAACACTTGTGTCCATTTATCTGAATGTGTCACTATGAAGTAGACTTTTCTACTTTCCTGCTCTCAAATACATTATTTAAAAGTAATGAATTCGTTGCACAGATCGTTACATCTTGTATTCCTTGATTAAATATCTTTAACTTTTAAAAGAAATAACAAAAAAGAATAAAGCTTAACCAAACATAGAAACCAAATAATGCAACAAAAACTTGCTTTGAACTGAAAATGATGAAAATATGTCGAAGACAAATCATAATTGATCCTGAAGAAAGTATTGATGAAGTAATAAATTTCTTGGTTTTTTTCAAACTGTCAAGAACAATTTTGATATACAGTATTGACTTCAGTAAGAAGAAACTTAGTTATCAATCACAAAATGAATTCTTTCAACTTTATCTTGTGAAAAATAATATAATAATATACATGTTTAGTGTTAATAATCTCTTAAAATTTAAAAAATACTTATAAAGATTTCGTTGGATCATTGTAGTAGAATATTCAAGGATGCATCTTTTAAAAGAAAGATTAACATTTTATCATGCTGGTGAATCAGAGATACATGTACAGTCAACAATATAGCAAAAGTTTTGCTATATTAGATATTGTTTTTATTAATTCAATAATCGACACAACATTAATAAAGATTAAACGTGATAATTAGAAATCTTTAAGAATCGTGATTATTTCCGTTGTATAGAACTCAACGAAAGCTCTTGATTAACATATGAACCAGCTCAAAAACGTTGTCAGAAGCTTCTTTTTAATAGCTTGCAGCTAAAGAAAATATGATATCAATGAAGAAGTTCGAATGACCATTTCACCATGGATTACATAATGGCATTAGATGAAATTCATCAAAGCTATTAATTATGTACCATCATACAATAACCAGTCATAGATTTCGGACACTTTTTAAATAACATGCAATTAAGAAGTACATCCGGAACGAGTGTGTGACGTTCGACGTAATTGCCTAAAGAACCATTATGATCAACTCTTAGACTCCGTTCTATCGACAATCGTTTGCTTTCTATATGATTCGAATATTTCGACTTAATTAGTCATCAGATAATAAATTGCATTTGTAGCAATAAGAATAAACATAGAAAATCTCATTCGAAGTTTTTCCAAGAAAACCGAAAAAGAAATTCTTACGTTATTAATATCCATATTTTATATACGACGAATAAAACTTAAAACACAAAATAAACTATAGTTGTGACAAATGATGCTTTTATAATGTATCATTACTTTGCATTCTTTTGCGTAAACAAATAATTACACAATCGTGAGAAGCTTGTGACACTATAAATAAATACTAACTCACCTAGACGAAAATAATCCAACAATCAATACTATATAATCAACATACATCTCAATATAATAAACATTTCGAAAATATTCATCAATGGCCACGAATGTTATTCCAACTCTTCTTACATTACCAGTAGAACTTGTCTACCGAATTCTAGACCATCTTAATGATTTCAATATTTTATACTCGACACAAAATATTTGTAAACGTATCAATGCAATCCTCAACAGTTACCATCGATATCAGGTAAACTACGTCTTAACCTGAAATTTCAATTTTAATCTTCTTCAAAACATTATTCGTTCGTATACCATATATATACATATATATGTCGTATCGAAGTTATATCAGTCGACGAAGTTGCAACTTAGGTAGAAAAGTTTGCCGAAGCCTCTTCAATTCAATTAGATATTAAAATAAATATCAGTTAAACGATGGTGTTAGAAACAATATATAAAATTATAATTAATTTTTCATTTTAAAAATAAACAAGTTTTTACGAATAAATATGAAAGAAATTATTCAGAAAATTCAAACATTACTTTTTGTTAATACTTTATATGCCTATAGATCTATTCTAACGACACTAATGTTTGTTACTAATGAAAAATATCTCTGGAATGCTGTGCTCTGATATATACAATATATATCCATATTAATTAGAACAGTTTTCATAATATATTTTATTCTGGAATGTTTTTCATATTTTCCTGTGAACATCAGTTTTTCGTTTTGATATAAAATGCAGGACTAAAAATGAAGATAAATGTGAAGCGTCTAACTGCAAGTAAAAACGAAGGCAAGGTTATGGTGAAAAAAAGTAGCTCAGGATGTAGAATGCCCTCTCCAAATTGTGGTTTTCTTCTAGTATACAGTCAAAATATGTTATATACTGCAAAAGATAGATTCGAGTATTGCGATATAAACAGTAAGTCTCCAAAAAAATAAATCTTTATAACATCTTACCGATCGTGTCCCAACGTCGCAAGTTACTCTACCTGCTTTATCTACTACTAATGATGTTTGTCTAATATGTTCTTCTTTGAGATTAGCTTCACTGTTAAAATTTATGTTGGATAGATAGATCGACATCACTGAAACATGGTACTCCAAAAACTACTTAGGTAAAATCTTTGTTTGATTTAGTGTAAGTCTGACTCTAGTCAGTGTTTAACTTGTCCTTACATTTAGTATTTTCCTGATTAATCTGAAGTTAGTGTTACATACATTTAAAATGAAAAATTAACCATAATGCTATATATTATTTTAAATGTCATCAGTAAACTGATATTTATTTCATATTTAGTTCAATTGAAATAACTTCGACGTTAAAGTTTGACAAATTTACAATTTCGATATAATCAAGTGACCAGTTGCAACTATATCGATACGACACATATAAGGCGCGAGAAGTGCAGAATTCAAGATGGTTCTGTTTTTTCATTAGTTCTATATGTCTTGACAAAGCTTCTTCAGCTAAATACAACTATGTTGCTTTTAATGCAATTGAAAACTCTAATACATAGAAAACAATGAAAAAAAACTGCACGCTGTGCAATGTGTCCAACAAACGGCTTTTTCTCTTCAAATGTCAAGTTTTTCTTAATTCACGCTTATTCAGCTTTTTCGAAGTATTTTCGCCTGATTAAACAAAGATAATCACTTGCGTCGATCATCTAACTTCCAGATTCAAGTAATAGCGTACGGGTGTCTGGCTGAAGAAGTGGTTGTTGATGAAGGCTTTTCGAGTAGCCGAAGTGGAGACGAAAATCAATTTTAACAGCAACACTCACATCCTCACTAACTAATGCATACTAACCGATTCCAACTTTCTTCATGTTACACATAGCAACTCACCACACGGTACCTCAGTAACAAATTGATTAGCAACTAAAGATCACTGCAACCTGCTAATGCTCTCCAAGATAACCATGTAATATCTCTAACATCACATTCAATAATTCACTTCATACTTGAAATAGACACTAACCACATTGAATGTTCGTGGCAATCGAATAGGTGATCAAGGAGCAAAACATTTTGCCGCTTCTCTCCAAGATAATCATGTAATATCTTCAACAACACATTCCACGATTCACTCCGTATTTGAAACAGACACTTACTACACTCGATCTCCGTCACAATCATATAGGCGCCCACGGAGCACATCATCTTGCCAATTCTCTCCAAAAGAACCAAGTAATATTTTCACCTTTACATTCTCTCATTCACTTCCTATTTCAAACAGACACTCACCACATTGGATGTCAGTCGTAATCAAATAGGTGATCGCGGAGCACAGCATTTTGCCAATGTTCTTCAACAAAACCATGTAATATTTCACCATACATACTGTATCATTCATCCTCTTTTGAAACAGACACTCACTACACTGAATCTCAGTCACAATCGAATAGATAATCAAGGAGCAAAAGATTTTGCCAATGCTCTTCAAGAAAACCAAGTATTATTTCAATATACACACCGTATCATTTACTTTCTTTTGAAATAGACACTTACTACACTGGATCTCAGTGACAATCGGATAGGCGATCAAGGAGCACAGCATCTTGCCAATGTTCTTCAACAAAACCATGTAATATTTCACCATACATATTGTATCATTCATCCTCTTTTGAAACAGACACTCACTACACTGAATCTCAGTCGCAATCGAATAGATAATCAAGGAGCAAAAGATTTTGCCAATGCTCTTCAAGAAAACCAAGTATTATTTCAATATACACACCGTATCATTTACTTCCTTTTGAAATAGACACTTACTACACTGGATCTCAGTGACAATCGGATAGGCGATCAAGGAGCACAGCATCTTGCCAATGCTCTTCAACAAAACCAAGTAATATTTCAACATACACATTGTATCATTCACCCCCTCTTGAAACAGACACTCATCACACTGAATCTCAGTCGTAATCAAATAAGTGATCAAGGAGCACAGCATTTTGCCGATGCTCTTCAACAAAACCAAGTACTATTTCAATATACGCATTGTACCATTCACCTCCTTTTAAAACAGACACTCACTACACTGAATCTGAGTTACAATCGAATGGGTTTCGAAGGAGCGGAATATTTTGCTGACGCTCTTCAACAAAACCAAGTAATATTTCAACGTACGCATTGTATCATTTATCCCTTTTTGAAATAGACACTCACTACACTGAATGTCAGTTACAATCGAATGGGTTTTGAAGGAGCACAACATTTTGCTGATATTCTCCAACAAAATCAAGTAATACTTCCAAATATACGTTCTCTCATTTAGTTCCTATTCAAAAAGACACTCACGACACTGGACTTCAGTCTCAATCAAATAGGTGATCAAGGAGCACAGTATCTTGCCAATGCTCTCCAAGAAAATCAAGTAATATTTTGACTTTCACATTCTATCATTCATTCCTCATTTGAAATAGACACTCACAACACTGAATCTCAGTCACAACCAAATAGGCGATCAAGGGATACAATATCTTGCTAATGTTCTTCAACAAAACCAAGTAATATCTTCAGTTTCTCATTTCATCGTTCACTGCTCATTTGAAACAGACGCTCACCACACTGAGTCTGAGTTACAATCGGTTAGGTGATCAAGGAGCACAACATCTTGCCAATGTTTTCCAACGAAATCAAGTAATATTTCCACATTTCCATTCTATAATTTATTGCATATTTGAAACAGTCACTCATCACATTGGATCTTAGTCTCAATCAAATAGGTGAACAAGGAGTACAATATCTTGCCAATGCTCTTCAACAAAACCAAGTACTATTTCAACATACATATTGTATCATTCACCACTTTTTGAAATAGACGCTCACTACACTAAATCTGAGTTACAATCGATTAGGTGATCAAGGAGCACAACATCTTGCTAATGCTCTCCAAAAAAATCAAGTAATAATTCCAGTTCTCTCGTTTTCTCGTTCACTTCCCATTTGAAATAGACGCTCATTACATTGAATCTGAATTACAATTGGTTAGGTGATCAAGGAGCACAACATCTTGCCAATATTCTTCAACAAAATCAAGTAATATTTCCACATTCACATTCTATGATTTACAGCGTATTTGAAACAGACACTCACCACATTGGACCTCAGTCTCAATCAAATAGGTGATGAAGGAGCACAATATCTTGCTAATGCTCTTCAACAAAATCAAGTACTATTTCAACGTACACATTGTATCATTCACTACCCTTTGAAATAGACACTCACCAGACTGGAACTCAGTCGCAATCAAATGAGTGGACAAGGTGCACAACATTTTGCCAATGCTCTTCAACACAACAAAGTAATATTTCATCTTCACATTCTGTGATTCACTTTCTATTTGCAAGCAGACACTTACTACACTGAATCTTAGTTATAATCGGATAGATCATGAAGGAGAACAACATCTTGCCAATGCTCTCCAACAAAGCGAAGTAATATTTTTATCTTTCCATTCTCTCACTCACTGGTTATTTGAAACAGACACTCACTACATTGAAATTCCTTTGAAGTCAAATTGGCGGTGAAGGAATGCAAGATCTTGTGAGTTGTCTAGTAGAAAGGCTAGAATGTCTTGAACGTTTTCCTTTTAATGAAGTAGACTTGTTCAAACTGTCGATCACCGTACTAGACATCTTCTGCGTTTCTGTTGGTTCTCAGTTGATGAAATCTATGAATGTTTTATCTTCGAAGTAGATATTGTCGAAAGCACATTTTTTCTGTGCTTGAAAGTGTAACGGTGGGCACGATTATGGTTATTTGGATTCAAAAAAAATAAAATTACAACCCAAATATCTCCAGAAGGAAATACAGAAGAAAAAGGAAAACTAAAACAAAAATAAAGACGACCACAAGTCACAACAAATAATAACAATCTCCCAAAGAGGGGAAAAAAACAACTTTTCCTATGTATTTGAGTAGAGAGAGAGAGAGACACCACAAGAAGAAGATAAATACTCGACTTTCTGCTCGTTTTGAAACAGATCTCTCCACGTACATGGCAAATTTTTTTAGTTGTGACGTGCGTGGTCAGATGGTTATTTCATTCGTCGAAGTTAAGCAACATATGATTCTATCTGTCATGCACATTTCTGCTACGATCATGAAATTGCTTATTGTTGCGTAGCGTGAAAGCAAAATTTATGTAGAAGATATGAAAGTGATTTTCTGATTAATTGAAAGTTGTTATTTTCAGCAATGCCCCTTGAGAAAGCGATTGGAATTCGTGATCAAAGAAAAGAATAGCATGTGTCGCAGTATCCTGTGTGCTTACCTTATGTTTCATTAGCGTAAAAGTATTAACGAAAGTCGTATATTTGATAATCTCAACACTCGATAATAATAGTATTTGGTTTTGATTGATATTTTGTATTGTGAAATATTCATATTGTGATTGACAGTGCACCTTGGCATATTGATGTCTGATAAAATGTGATAGTATTTTATTCAGCTCCAATTGTCATGTACATTCACTGTGGGTTTACTTTTTTCTATATTATATTTTGATGTCATACGAGCTTCTGACGAAATAATAATAATCGGTAAAAATGTTAAAGACCTCAGTTTTGCCTAAAGCAGGTATTGAACAAGAAAGTATTGGTTGCCTAATTTTCAGAGCATGATTTTTTTTGCCATGATAAAGAAGAACAATACATGCGAAGACTGTGAAAACAAACTTATTACTAAATTTAATGAAATTGAAAATATCATACCTACGTATCTATAGAATGACAAAAATTTTCATCGATGTTAATTCTTGTCATTTTTTTGCAACATTAGTTTCTTAAG